CGTGTTGCATTTTTCGGACGGCGACGTTTGCACACATCAACAGAGCAATGCTTTAGAATGAACGAGTCTTGCAATAGCTTGTTTTTTGTCGCATAAAATGCTTCATGAAAGTCTTTAACTTCCTTCATGGTTAACGAAGAACACTGAAAAGCCTTCGTCTTGTGACCACATGTTGGATATTGTGGCAACTGTTTTGCAGAATATCTGCAAAGAAGACTAGACAATACAACTCTATTATCAGTATGAAAAGAAAGAAAATACCTGAGCTTCTTGCGAACATTACATTTCCATGTGACTGGATCACGTTTTCTTTTACGGGCCTTACCCGGCTCAGCAGGAGATGCATTCACTTCCATTAGGTTCTCAGGCAAAACTCAATAATCAACACAAGATTTAACAGGATGAACAACCACAATGGACTAAACGAAAGCAACAAACATAATAGGTATTTGCTATTTAAATGCTATTTCATGTGATCAGCTGATCACATGTCGCGATTCTGATTGGGTGGCATGGAGTTTGCCGATTTTGATTCTGAAAGTCATATGGAGATTGCCGGTTTTGATTCTGATGAGTAGTTTCCAAACTAAATTTATATGGGATAAAACCGTTTTTGTTACCAACTAGAAACATATTCCAATAGTGCACAACGAGACGAAAAAACTGCTATATGCAACACATTTTACTGAAATTTGGAGATTGCCGGTTTTGATACTAGGCCCCTCAAATGGTATCACGAATTTCAAATTTCTTTCCATCTGGAATATCTTTCATTTTCAATGATGGGCGAGTTTTGCGGTGATCTTCTTTCGGCAGTTCACTATTGTGATTTTGTAATACTCCTCTTAATTTGGTTTTACTAATTCCTAGAGCATCGCATACGCGTTATTGTACAGAAATTACCGATTTTAAAGGACCGCCATTTTCTTTTTCTTCCGTAAAATATTTATGTACACTACAAATTAGACTATCTACATCTAACACACGTCTAGGCATTTTTAAAATTTCCACTAAATTTACAATATACGTACAATGTCAACACTTACAAAGAATCAATTCAACTGCAATATTTGTAACAAATTTAGTGCCTACCCTAATGTTATTTTAATTTAAATCTGACCATTGGGGCAATTTTACCTAATTTCTTGGGAAGAGGCTTATTGGAACTGGTTGTCAATGACTAATTTGCATAATTTTGTTAATCCGATACCCGTGTAAGTATAGCGAACAGACTGTAGGTATTTTTTCTTTCACTAATATTAATTGACATATGTGAATATAAGATAAATTGTGAATATAAAAAAAATGTTAACATAAAACATATATGTATAGAATATAGAAGACAAATCCTAATATTATTAGGCATGTAAAATAAAAAAAATTAAAAATTAATGTAACGAGACTTGAACGCACGACTCCTTGCTTGATAAGTTTACGCCTTATCCATAGACTACATTCCTTAGTCTGTCGACACTTATCACTTTACATAATCTGAATACATTCTAAGAAACCTAAATAACCCATTCTAGGTGAATTATATCTATACCGATTTCAGTAAAACGTTTTTAATAAAAAATTTAATGAAGTTATTATTTTATCTTATCTCAATTACTTAGCTTGTTCATAAGTTGTCTCTTTAAAAAGTTGTTTCGTAGTCCCTTAGGGGTCCTATCATCTTGGGCTACTCTTGTTTAATATCTATGTGAATGATCTATCAAAATGATCTAAATTTGCACATTTTCCCATGTACGCTGATATATTATGTGTTTAGTTATAAAAACCTGTCATAATATCAAATAAACGTTCTACTACTACTAAAAGTTGTCAAAATAATTGTAAATTCTAATCGACTTTTAAGTGACACCACCACGGTCCATAATATATTTTTTTTAGTAATTTTTATTGGAAATATCAGACACAGAAACGCTACCACTATTCTTTGTAGATATAGAACCAGATGAAAACAAAAAAGACATATTTAACTTAAAAGACCTACAACACTGTAAAATAACAATAGAACCACCAAGAATAAAAAATACAATAGTTCAATGCACTAGATGCCAAAAATACGGGTACTCAAAATCTTACTGCATGAGGCCATTCTCTTGTGTTAAATGCGGAGGAGCCCATGACACAAAAGCCTGTAAAAAAACACGCGACACACCTGCAACATGTGCCTTATGCAAAGGCAACCATCCAGCTAACTATAAAGGGTATGCTATATATAAAGACCTAATAAACGCGAAAAACAAGAATATAAGAAATAGCATTCACAGACCTAGAACTAACACTTTAAATAACCCTAATATCCAAACACAGCAACCACACACAACATATGCTAATGTAGCAGCAACAAATAACTCAGACATTCCATCAAACACTCTCCCTCAAGCGAACAATAATTCAGACCTGTCAAACAAACTAACAGAATTTCTCAACGAATTTAAAAATATGTTTGCACAATTAATAAATCAAAATAGCATGATCTTAAGCATGCTCACAACCGTGATAAATAGAATATCTTAATGGCTAACTCACTAAGAATATCCGAGTGGAACGCAAATGGTTTAACAAACCATGTGCAAGAAATCACACTATTTTTAAAACTAAACAAAATAGACATCCTACTCATCTCTGAGAGTCACACAACCGAGAGGTCTTTCATTAAAATCCCGTATTACTCTGTTTACTACGCTAACCATCCGGATGGAACAGCCCATGCTGGCTCAGTTATAATAATTTGAACAGCTATAAAACACTATGAACTTCCATAATATATTACCAACAAAATTCAGAGCACTATTATAAAAGTGAATGTGCTCACTAGTCCATTAACAATAGCTTCAATCTACAGCCCACCACGCCACTCCATCAATCTTGAGGAATACAGAGAGTTCTTTGGACAACTTGGATCTCATTTCCTAGTAGCAGGCGACTGAAACGTCAAACACACAACCGGGGGAGCAAGACTGATAACCCCAAAAGGCAGAACTTTACTAAAAATCATTCAAGAAAACAACCAAAAATACTTATCAATATGTACCCCCACATACTGGCCTACCGATAACAATAAAATTCCTGACTTACTAGACTTCGCCATAACTAAAGGTATATCTGAAATACACAGCAACATCACCCCCAGTTTCGATTTACACTCAGATCACAGTCCTATCATAATAACCTTAGGTACTAGTATAATTTGGAAAACACCTGCACCAAGGCTCTGCTCCAGAAACACAAATTGGAATCAGTTTCATGATAAAATCAATGAAAAAATATCTCTAGACATACAACTCAAAGACAAAAATGACATTGAAGAAGCTGTAAAATACCTAACAGAACAAATTCAAAGCGCCGCTTGGGAAGCTACTGCTGTAAATGAAAAAATAATTAAAGAAAGATGCAGTATACCTTACTATATTAGAACACTAGTGGAAGATAGAAGAAGAGCCCGTCGTAAATGGCAAACAACAAGAAATCCATTAGATAAAACAAATCTAAACAGACTCACACGCAGACTTCGCTGTGCTATCCAAACTGCCAAAAATGAATCGTTTGAAACATATCTTACCAACCTATCTCTTGACGATGACTTCCTTTAGAAAGCCACAAAAAAATTCAAGAAACCAACAGTAGCCAATTAAAAAAATCGACGGTACTTGGGCTCGGTCTTATCCAGAAAAATCCAATAGATTCGTAGAACATTTATCAACTGTTTTCTCCGCCCCACAACCTAACGATATCAATGACGATGAAATTAGAGCCTTCCTTAATGCCCCCTGTCGGTTGTCACTACTACTGAAATACTTCTCACCGAGTGAATTCCGCAATGAAATCAGATTTCTCAACCCACGCAAAGCTCCCGGATTTGACCTTATAACTGGCGAAATCTTAAAAAAATCTCCCAAGAAAAGGTATCGTCCTAAAAACTATCATTTTCAATAGCCTCCTTAGGCTATGCTATTTTCCAGTGCAATGGAAGTACGCACAAATTATAATGATACCCAAATTTCGTAAATCTCCAACTGAAGCTAGTTCGTACCGACCAATAAGTCTCCTTCCGACTTTATCAAAAGTCTTTGAAAGGCTTATTCTCAACAGAATAGAAACAACAATATCTCTAGAAAATCTGATAGCAGATCACCAGTTTGGATTTTGCTCAAGTCACTCAACCATACAACAGTGCCACAGGTTAGTCAACAGAATAAAAGAGAGCTAAGAAGAAAAACGAATCTGTATATCAGCATTCCTTGATATACATTCGATAAAGTGTGGCATGAGGGTCTCCATGTTAAAATCAAAACCCATCTACCCGACCAATCATACCTCCTCCTGAAATCATATTTTTCTGACAAATACTTCCAAGTTAAATATAAAGAAACTTTATCCAACTACCACTAACTAAAATCCGGAGTACCTCAAGGCAGTGTACTCGGCCCATTCTTGTACTTAATTTTCAATGCTGACATACCCATAAAAGTTAAAAATATGAGCTGATTAATCAACAGAAGATCGAAACTTTCATTAGAAAACAAAATGGTCATCTATAAAGCAATACTCAAACCAGTCTGGACATACGGAATCGAGCTGTGGGGCTGCAGCAAACCATCTAACACTAAAATACTACAGACATTCCAGTCCAAGACTATTCGAATGTTAGCTAACGCCCCATGGTACGTTTCCAACCAAACACTTCATGCAGACCTCAACATTCCATTCATAGATGATGTGATTACCCACCACTCCAGAAAATATATGAATCGTAATGAAAACCATCCAAACCTCAGTCGAACTCTTTAACCCTCCACTTATTGATAGACGCTTAAGAAGACTTTGGCCAGAAGACCTAGCTGCTAGGTGAATTCTAGAGAGTCATCAGTGGACGACACCTGCCTCAAGCCACCCATTTCCATCAAATTTACTTATTACTTTATTGAAGTAGATTGTAAATTAGCATTGAATTAAATAATAAAAAAAAATTTGGAAAGCTCTTTACTTACGTATCTCCAGATTGTCTTGAAGGCATCTTCTCAAACCTAACTTTACTATTTCTATTGATATAGTCTTCTTCAGACATTTTTTCGTAATTTGACTTACTAAAAATAATAAAAAAAAAAAAAATTATCAAAACAACTTAACGAGATTTTTATGTACCAATCAAATTATTTGTAAGTTTATACGTACCGTAATCTGAAGTAGTAGAAAAGAATAGCTGCGAGTATTAGCAGCAAAATAAATACTGATAAAAAGGAGACGGCTATAATATATGGTTTATTGTTACTGCTGGTTCCAATTATTCCAGTTCTACTTTCATCTAAAAACAAAACAAGTAACTAATTTAAAAATGGTAAATGTTTAAGATGGAAATGAAAAATTTAAGAGTGGTTGGGGAAGTGTTTATACTCCTCCCTCTAACAAACCTAACTCGCATTTTAGGGAAATCATGTATAGGACCAAAATTATAGAGAACGACATCACAAGAAACTTTTATCACGATTCCTATACTTTCCTTATCTGTACACAGAAAGGAAAGTAAAAAATAACCGTGACAGTATTTTTTTAGTCAACCCATTTGCGGTATATTTGCAATCATACAGGGTGCCATTAGTGTGAAAAAGTCCAATATCTCCGCCATTATTAGAGATATATTAAAAATATTTTTACAGAACAGTAGACCGCGTTAAACTACATATTTTAAAATTATTTTTAAATATACAGGGTGTTTGATAACTTCCCTCTGGAACCAACTTATGTTCTTTTTAATGAATCACCCTGTATTTTATTTTATATTTGAATTGGCCTCGCTTTTTCCCTTCTAAAAATATAAATTATTGCTGGTTTATACAGGGTATTTTGCAGGATATAATCAGTTTTGTATGAAAATCGTATTGAATTCAATCACCTATATCATGCAAAAGAAACCATTGATAACCAATTTCCACAGTAATACTTTGAAATGCCTCTCTTACTCGTATTTTCATATCATCTACTGTAGTTGGAGGTATTTTATACACTAGAGCCTTAACGTAGCCCCAGAAAAAAAGTCCATTTTAGTTAAATCTGGTGACCGGGCTGGCCAACGGATTGGCCCGCCTCTTCCTATCCATCTTCCTAGAAATTGATCTGCAAGTTCGCCATTTACAAGAGCGTTATTGTGAGCAGGAGCACCATCATGTAAATACCACATTTTCCGGCGTACTTCAAGAGGTAGATCTTTAAGCAATATTGGTAAAGAATTCACTAGAAAGTCTAAGTACATTTCCCCATTTACAAATTCGTTAAAAAAATGAGGTCCTATCACGTACTCACCGATAATGCCACCCCAAACATTTATAGACCACCTTTCCTGACTGTGAGTAATTATATGGTATGGATTAGAAGTGGAATAATAATGAAAGTTGTGCCTATTGACACAGCCATTTCGATGAAAAGTTGCCTCATCTCCAAAAAGCACGTACTCAAAAAAATCTCTTCGTTCAGTAATTTCTTGTTGTGACCATTCACAAAAAGTTACCCTGTGTTCAAAATCCATAATAGTGAGTTCTTGATGTAGTTGCATATGATACGGATGCATTTTATTTTTGGAAAGTATTCTTTGTACTGACGTATAACTTATTTCCTGTTTTCTTGAAATATTTCTTATACTTGTATGCGGATTTTCGGTAACTGCTAACAACACATTTAGTTCATTTTCCTGTTTAGTAACAGTTTTTATTCTATCAATTTTTCATATGAAACTGACCCTGTTCGGTTAAATCAATCTATCAGTTTTTCAAACGATGTTTTATTTGGCGTTCTACGCTCTGGAAATCGTTCTTTATAAACTGTACTTGCCAACAAAGAGTTTTTATTGCATCCTCCCAAAATCCATACCATATCAACTAATTCTTCATGACTATAATTCATGTTAAAAAACTGGCGAAACTTTGTAGAAAACAAATAATGCAACACTAATGACATTAATAATAACAAACTGTCAATATTGGGGGTTTTCAAAGCCAACTTAAAAAAAAAAATAAAAAACAAAAAATTTAGTAGGTTTCATTTGTAGTTTGTGGTAGCAATGTTTATTTCTTTTCCTAATAAACGAATAAGTGACATTACATATTGTCAGAAACTTACTTAGTCCATAATAAATAATTACTTCAGGTTAAATTCAATTAATTACTAGTGATAAATAAAATGTATTTCCAATCAATTATTTTCTGAATTATCGTTATATTCTTAGAATGGGAAAAGCGAGGGTAATTTAAATATAAAATAAAATACAGGGTGATCCATTAAAAAGATCATAAGTTGGTTCCTGAAAGAAGTTACTAAACACCCTGTATATTCAAAAATAATTTTAAAATATGTAGTTTAACGTTGTCTACCGTTCTGTGAAAATATCTTTTTTATATCTCTAATACTGGCGGAGATATTAGACTTTTTCACACTAATGGATCACCGTGTATAATAGTTAATAAAAAATACCTTCTATCCGGTATACAGATAGGTGACGGTCACCCTTACTTTGTATCCTGTACTATTATATAATCTTTAAAAACTTATACTTTTTTGATAAATAAAAAAAGCTCGTTTATGCTAAAACATTTGGAAATGTATATTTATAATAAAATTTATCCACCCATGTGGCACTTAAGATTGGAACGTCAGAATGGTTTTATTGAATATAGATCTACTGTGACAAATTTATCTTGTTTCTCACATTTTCTATACGAAACACTCAATCACACAATAGATGTTATCTTAACTAATTTTAAAAGGTTTTCAAAGACTTTTCTTTCCTATTTGTATACTGGTTTCTTACCCGAACTATTTTTCTCTACGTCAGGGGTTCCTCAAGGGTCTAATTTAGGACCCCTACGTTTGTGAATCTTTATCAACGATATTTGTAATTCTTTTGACAATATTTGAAATACTCTTACCCGTTAATTTGATGTTCAAAACAGCCTGACTGGAGATCGACTCTGCCTTTTTGACTTTAGCTTTTACAGCCAATGTTAATGTATACTCATCGTCAAATAAATTCTCTGGCAAGTTTTCTTTCAACGTTATTGTAACATGGTTATGGGCGTATAACACTGTAAAGTATTTCTCATAACCCAAATCTAGAAAAAAAAAAAAAAAAACACCAAAATTTAAAATATACAGGATGTTTTATTAACCGAAGATATAGGATATTTTTACAATTTAAGAATTATTCATTGTTGGCAAATTAGCCAACATATTTAAGAACTTTATAACACATTAAATTACAAAGTGGTAAAATTTGACTTTTTAGCCATTACCAGCGGCGTACTGATGAAACAGAGTAATAATTTTACCTCTACGACACTAACGCAATAATTATATTTGTTATTTTTCAATTATCTAATATTTTATTTGTTTAATTGCAATAAAGTGGGTATTTTCTTAGATAAAAAAAAGAAATAGATAGGGTTTGTTTGAAACAAAGATCTACCTTTCCTTCCATTTGGTACTTTCTCTCTCTTATTGGTCAAATCTGTCAATAAGCAGTCCAGAATTGTCAGTTTTATTTGTATAATTCTTAGATTTCGTCTTTGTAAAACTTTTACAGTTAAAGACATTGGGTGTTCTGCAAGATTCTGCCTTCCCCGTCTTCTTCAAAAAAACAATTATTATTATTTCACCACTTTTATCCCTACCTTTTATACATTAATTCTATTCTGCGGTCCTTTTTAGCAGCAAACGTATACTCAGACTCGTATTTAAATCTCTTTTCGTTTATTAATTTATAAACTACATCCATCTTTCATATATAAGCGTTGCCGAAATAATACAACTAATAATCTACATCTACAAAACAGATACTCCCCCACAATGTCCCCTCTACTTTCTGCAAAATTCCCCAATGATTTACCCCTATTACCCCAAAATTACCCCATAATTTTCTCCCAAAATTCTACACAATTTTCTACAGACATCTAATCACATATGCGACAGTCTATAATCAAAGCTCGCCGATCTGGTAAAAATTCAGCTCAAATACAACGTGTTTCAACGCTACTTTTTAGGGAGTCGCGGAAAGTGAAGCGATGAGCACGGACGGCTCAAGAGGTGTTCAGGCCGTCCCGAAGCGACCCAGCTAGAAATAAATATGATCTGGCCAGCTTTTGTTGAATCTTTTACTGGTCCGCTTTAGACTTATTCTCAGTAGGATACGTTCACACGCTATGGATACTGTTTAATAATTAAAATCAATGAGATTATCCACAAAATTTATTTTACGTTCATTTTAGAATGTCTAAAATAATTTTTGTGAAGAGTATTTTTTTAGTAGTTCTCCAGCTTCACAGCACTTATGCACCAGCCGCCACTTAATTGTAAAAATAACTATTAAATGTTTCTTCTAAAATATTCCTAGGGGTAGTTACATTTCCTTTTATAGGTAAGTAAATAAAAGCCATATTTACCATTATGTTTCATTTATCTTTCAGAAAATCCATGTTTTGGTGCATTTCTCAATTAATGAAAATTGTAAACAATTACGATACATTAAAAGTCAAACTAAATGAATATTTGTTAGATGTATCTGTAATGTATGTAGGGTAAGTTACCCCTACGACACTTAGGCCTCACTGGACCTATTGTGCATCCTCCTAAATTGATATGTAACTCCTAGCTTGTGAGCCAGTCTACAGAATTACCGTAGTTCTCAGGGCCGCCAAGAGGTGCCTTATATCAACCGGTTTTAGCCGATATTCGCCGAACACACATCTCCTAATAAATGAGGCGTCTGAAAATCATAGAGAACATGCTGAATGGTCTTATCTTCTTGTTCGCACCCCCTAAGGAGTGCGGACTCTGATAGCCAATTGCAATCAAAATTCTTCCGTACTTGGCAATGACCAGTCAGAATGCCTGTGGTCAGGCGCAGAGTCTGTTTAGTCAGAGTCAAGTATTTGTTTGCTCTAATGTTATCAGATTAACTTAACCTACCCTCCAGAAACTCTACAACTTCTTGTTTTATCTTATATTTCCTTGAATGTTCTTTAATTAGGTCTGTCACTAACAGTCAGTTGTCAGTTGTCAGTTGTCAGTTGTCAGTTGTCAGTTGTCAGTTGTCAGTTGTCAGTTGTTAGTTGTCAGTTGTCAGTTGTCAGTTGTCAGTTGCCAGTTGCCAGTTGTCAGTTGTCAGTTGTCAGTTGTCAGTTGTCAGTTGTCAGTTGTCAGTTGTCAGTTGTCAGTTGTCAGTTGAAGACACAAGTGGATAAAGGTGTCATGTCACATTTAAAAAAATAAATTTTAGGACCTAATATACTTAAAATATACTACATTTTTTGTTTGCAATAGTTCTGATTTCCAATTTTGGTCAATAACGGCTATTTATCAAAAAAGTGTTATGAACATATATCAATGCAATTGTAAAACTTTAAACTTGGTTTTCTCAAAATTATCTTTTTGTGACATGACACTTTTACCTACTTGTGTCTTCATTTGTCATTTGTCATTTGTCATTTGTCATTTGTCATTTGTCATTTGTCATTTGTCATTTGTCATTTGTCATTTGTCATTTGTCATTTGTCATTTGTCATTTGTCATTTGTCATTTGTCATTTGTCATTTGTCATTTGTCATTTGTCATTTGTCATTTGTCATTTGTCATTTGTCATTTGTCATTTGTCATTTGTCATTTGTCATTTGTCATTTGTCATTTGTCATTTGTCATTTGTCATTTGTCATTTGTCATTTGTCATTTGTCATTTGTCATTTGTCATTTGTCATTTGTCATTTGTCATTTGTCATTTGTCATTTGTCATTTGTCATTTGTCATTTGTCATTTGTCATTTGTCATTTGTCATTTGTCATTTGTCATTTGTCATTTGTCATTTGTCATTTGTCATTTGTCATTTGTCATTTTTCATTTGTCATTTGTCATTTGTCATTTGTCATTTGTCATTTGTCATTTGTCATTCGTCATTCGTCATTCGTCATTCGTCATTCGTCATTCGTCATTCGTCATTCGTCATTCGTCATTCGTCATTCGTCATTCGTCATTCGTCATTCGTCATTCGTCATTCGTCATTCGTCATTCGTCATTCGTCATTCGTCATTCGTCATTCGTCATTCGTCATTCGTCATTCGTCATTCGTCATTCGTCATTCGTCATTCGTCATTCGTCATTCGTCATTCGTCATTCGTCATTCGTCATTCGTCATTCGTCATTCGTCATTCGTCATTCGTCATTCGTCGTTCGTCGTTCGTCGTTCGTCGTTCGTCGTTCGTCATTCGTCATTCGTCATTCGTCATTCGTCATTCGTCATTCGTCATTCGTCATTCGTCATTAGTCATTAGTCATTCGTCATTCGTCATTCGTCATTCGTCATTCGTCATTCGTCATTCGTCATTCGTCATTCGTCATTCGTCATTCGTCATTCGTCATTCGTCATTCGTCATTCGTCATTCGTCATTCGTCATTCGTCATTCGTCATTCGTCATTCGTCATTCATCATTTGTTGGTTGTTAGATACCAAGATACATAGCTAATGAAATCGATATCATCAACACCAAACTAAATAAGCTAGTTTTCGGTTATAGCCACTACCTAAAAACAAGAAATGTATTGGATTCTTTAGATTATTCTACAGTTCCTAGATGACTTAGAAGAAGCAGTAACTTTAGCCAAGATGAACATTCTACATAGCAACCTTATTAAAGAAGAAGAACTCCGTTGGAGTATAACATCAATGTTAGAGCACCATTTTGAGGAATAGCTAGTGTATCCCAAAGACTTTTATAAATAGTACGACACCATTGAAGTCGATGCCTACTATTCCAACAATACAATCGTATTCATCCTACATATTCCTATTATATTTACAAGTACATTTTCATACTATCATTATTTTTAATCCAACACAAAATCTTTCAACTATTATTCCTTTCGCCCCCTACCTTCTTACCAATCGTGACTTATTTCAATACAATAAATAACCATGCAGAAAAATCGGACAAGAGTATCTATGTCAGGAGAAACTGTTACAAGAAAGGTAGGGCAGAAAAGACTATATACAAATTCTACAGATCGAAAACGAAGCAGCATCCTGTAAAAATGTTCCAGTCGTTGTTAATAGCACTATAATCGAAGAAACTTCAGAACATTGTTAACTTTCCAAATAAAATAAATTAATTTTGGAGAGAATGTCAAAGAAATATCAAAGAGAGGGGATACAGCTCTAAAGATTTGCAATACTCTGCTCTTTCGTGCAGCTCTAAAGAAACTACTTATTGCTCATGCATTCAGCGGATACGATACCACCTCGGAATTTTTTGGAAAGGGTAAGAAGCAGATAAAAATACATTAAAGAATAGGAAAGATCTAAATGATGTCATCAATAAGTTTAACAGCGAATTTTCATGTAAAGAAGATATTGTAACGGCTCGAGAAAAGATGATATTGGTACTTATAAGGCTCCTAGAAAAGAAACTTCGTTAAATAAGTACCAATTCACCTCTTTTAATAAGCTAGTGAGCAAGTCCACAAGTGATGTAACACTTTCAAGGCTCCATCCAACATTTGCAGCTTCAAAGGAGCATTGTTAGCGTGTCCATCACCAGATCCAGGTATGAAAAGGCAAAATTATCGATGCAAGACTATGGCGATGGAAAAATATAAACAATGTTATGTGTCCTATATACACAACTGAAGCACCAACGCATTTGCAGATCCTCAAATTGATATCGTGTAGTTGCAAAAGTGGCTGTGGAAAAAGGTGTAGCAGTATTTAAATGGGATTACACTGCTCCTTAATGTGTGCAGAGTGTAATGGACAAAGTTGTCTAAATTCCACTACTAAAGAAGAATAATTATTCGATACTAAAAACAAAGAAAACTAAACTAGTAGAATAGAACTACAGGGGAGGCCACTTAAAAAAAAACGCGCCGAAAGCTTTACCTCTTTGGTGGTGTATCAAAAAGCACAACATTGTAACAATATTTTTAGATTTACATATAATTTAAATTTATAAGTAGGAGAGAAGCAAAAGATTAATTTTATGCTGCATTCTAGAAAAAAAAAAATTGACAACGCCAGTTCTTGGCTGTAACTCTCATTTTATATAGAAATTGACGAAGAACATTTTTGTTTTCTCAATTATTTTTCACCAGAGTAATAGTGTACGAAATAAATAGAAAAATCAAGATCACGTCTATCTTGGGGGTAACGTTTACCCTGAAAGATATGTTTCATCCACTGTAGGCGTGGGAACTTGCTTGACTCTTATCATATAATATTTAAAATGATATGACCCAACTTTAAAACCTATGTAATTTTTTTCTCCTAAAAACACTAATGCTGAACTATAAAGATTGTCACAGGAAATATCCAAGAGATAAAATTTACCGAAATTGCATCAGAAGCAATTAAGATAGGTACCCATATAGTATTAAAATAGCAGTGATTTAAATTGGTGACATAATTAGTCATATCAGCTTGGTAAATAATCTTGATGACAACAAGATATTATGTTTGTACAGATTTATGGACTATTATTTATGTAAATATAACAAAAACTTAACTATCATGTACATAATAAACAATATTAACTGTAATTAATTGAAACCATTGATAAGGTAGAAAAATAAAAAATTATTGCGTTTGTGTTAATTTTTTACATTCGAATAAGAATCGGTTATTTCTTTTAAAAAATTTTATGTTTGAATTAAATTTTTTTTCAAATCACTTATTTACAAAATATTTTAAGAACAATCCTTTGGATTCTAATTAAAAAACTACTTGGTATGCCACTGGAGAACCAATGTCATACGTTTGTTTATCTTGGATTCAAACAAAGCTTATGTTACCAAAGACACCTATCTATTTCCTTTGTTCATCTAATTAGGAATTCCAACAATCTGTCAAACAATAGCTGCCGGTGGGAAGGGCTCGTATATCTAAGATGGTTGCGACATAATCTTTCATTTTGGACGTTATTTTTATTTAAAATAGTAGTCGCCAAGTCTGCCAATTTATATTCACGTGTTCTAGATAGAATACATTGTATGTTGCAACCCCTTAGACATATCAATCTTTCCCACGGACAGCCATTTTTGTTGGAATGTTTAATAATTTTCCTTTTCAAAACACATAGGTATTTTGTCACCTTGATATTAGGCATTCCAACGACCTGTCAAACAATACCTGCCAGTGAGAAGGTCTTGTATATCTAAGGGGGTAGCGACATAGTCTTGCATCTTGGACGCTATTTTTATTCGAAATATCAGTCGTTAATCCTGCCAGTTTTTAAAAAAATGTACAAGCAGTTTTTTTAATTAATATTTTTATAGTGTTCGATATAAAATATTTAAATATAATCCATTATTCATGATTTTACGTATTGTAGATAGAATACATCGTATGTCGCAACCGTCAGATCTACCAAACCTGCCCACTGGCAATTCATTTGTTTGGAATGCCTAATTAAATGTGAAAATGAAAAATTTTGCAGCATTGTTGATTGTTTGTTTTTTGATTTGTAGTAACTGCTTCTTTAAAACGACATAAATAAATTTGGACGTGGCGGTAAATTCAAAATAATAAGGGGACTACAGAATAATAATTGTGATTACTTACCATTTTCAATTGTAACGTCAATTTCATTTTCAGTTCTACCTGTTTCTAGAGTAATATCGTCTACTGTGAACTTCACAGAATGATCTTTATTCAGTTTGTATTCAGCATTGTAGATTAATTTTAGAAAATCTATTTTGCTATTATCAGGATCTGGATTATTATCGTTATCTGAAACACAAAGATACATACAATCCACTTCCTAATCGACAGAAGGCCTACCAGATCTACCGATTTAAATCCTTTGGACTATTTTCTATTGGGAGACTTAAAGTGTAAATGTTTTTCTATAACTCCAAATTAAAAGATTTTGGTCAAGAAATCATAGAAATACTTTGTGAAAAACTGGAAAATATTTAACTCTACACATATGGTAAAAGAGAAACCTGTATTATAGTCATTTATGATGTTCCTAAAGTTCATTAGACAAAAAAAGATATACCACGCAATGGTACTAACAATTTTCAGATTTTCCCAGTACATTAATTTATTAATAGCTACTTTCTATTAATTAATACTATGTTAATACTAAACTGTCACATCTGTTAAAGGAAATTCCAATTTGATTTGACAGTAAATCAGTTAGTATTCTTGTCAGTTTGTTCTAATAAGTTGTAAATAATGAGTTAAATAAAAGCCACCATTTTATAAAATACGCTTAAAAGTTATTTAATATTTATTTTTATGATAGTTTTACCTTTTACTTTCAAGTTAACGACAGTTTCGGTGGTAATCAACGTGCTTTTGATCTTTGCCTGTAAAACAACAGCTATGTTGTTCTGGGAACGTAAAACAGTACTTGCTGCTGTAGTGGTAAGGCTTAGAGTAACCACTTTGTTGAAATAGCTAGCCTTAAAGAACTTATTTATATCTATAAATAAAACAAACTATGTTAATAATATATACAATCTGGAACATCAAAGGAAATATAAAATATCAAATTTAAATATCATTGAAAGGCTGGAGGTTGAAGATTTTTATTACCACATTCGCTGCTCATGACATAAGCATTCGACTATAGTGTTGCTTTTAAGTATTTAGTTTTTAAACCTGTTAAATCTTTCGTTAACCTAGTCATGTAGACAATGCCTAACTGAGTAATGAAAGATGTCATGGACAGAAAAAATGGTAGAAATCTTAAGGTATTATACATTTTCTAATTAGTTTTACATTTTAAGGAAATGCCAAGGGTAGAGAATCTTTCGAATCCATACTACCTCATCAAAGGCTTCGTTGACATTTAAAATATAAGCTGTACAGTAATTTTTGCCTTTCAGGGTAAGATTCTTCTTGTGATATATTCTGTGAATTAGCTGCACCGTAGAGTGTTCTTTGCGAAAACAAAATTGGTGGAGAAGTATACATTCTTTTGTGTCTGGGTCAGAATGTATTTTTTGCAGCAATAGCCTCTCAAATATTTTAGACATAATTAAGAGGATTTTTCTAAATTTTCACCAAAACGGTTACCAGGAGAAAGTTTATTTCAATTAAGACAAGGTTATCAACGACGTGACGAAGACGTCATAGCTTTTTGCACGAGACTAGGATCAAAGCCGCTCGAAGATGATTTAAAAGGAGCAACGGCTGAAGAATACCCAGTAATCAAGCAGAAAAACAGGGAATTACTGCTGGAACAATTCAAAATGAGATTAAGAACAAATTTATTAAAGGAAACTTCTATTAAACTACCATTAAACTAAACTACTATTAAAATACTATTAAACTACTATTAAACTACGATTAAACTACTATTAAACTACTATTAAACTGCTATTAAACTACTATTAAAAAATGTAAATTAGTCTGGCCAATTGGCAATGCCAAGGTCATAAATTTTAAATAAAAAAACTACTATTAACCTACTATTAAACTAAACTACTATTAAACTACTATTAAACTAAACTACTATTAAACTACTATTAAACTACTATTAAACTACTATTAAACTACTATTAAACTACTATTAAACTACTATTAAACTACTATTAAACTACTATTAAACTACTATTAAACTACTATTAAACTACTATTAAACTACTATTAAACTACTATTAAACTACTATTAAACTACTATTAAACTACTATTAAACTACTATTAAACTACTATTAAACTACTATTAAACTACTATTAAACTACTATTAAACTACTATTAAACTACTATTAAACTACTATTAAACTACTATTAAACTACTATTAAACTACTATTAAACTACTATTAAACTACTATTAAACTACTATTAAACTACTATTAAACTACTATTAAACTACTATTAAACTACTATTAAACTACTATTAAACTACTATTAAACTAAACTACTATTAAACTACTATTAAACTACTATTAAACTACTATTAAACTACTATTAAACTACTATTAAACTACTATTAAACTACTATTAAACTACTATTAAACTACTATTAAACTACTATTAAACTACTATTAAACTACTATTAAACTACTATTAAACTACTATTAAACTACTATTAAACTACTATTAAACTACTATTAAACTACTATTAAACTACTATTAAACTACTATTAAACTACTATTAAACTACTATTAAACTACTATTAAACTACTATTAAACTACTATTAAACTACTATTAAACTACTATTAAACTACTATTAAACTACTATTAAACTACTATTAAACTACTATTAAACTACTATTAAACTACTATTAAACTACTATTAAACTACTATTAAACTACTATTAAACTACTATTAAACTACTATTAAACTACTATTAAACTACTATTAAACTACTATTAAACTACTATTAAACTACTATTAAACTACTATTAAACTACTATTAAACTACTATTAAACTACTATTAAACTACTATTAAACTACTATTAAACTACTATTAAACTACTATTAAACTACTATTAAACTACTATTAAACTACTATTAAACTACTATTAAACTACTATTAAACTACTATTAAACTACTATTAAACTACTATTAAACTACTATTAAACTACTATTAAACTACTATTAAACTACTATTAAACTACTATTAAACTACTATTAAACTACTATTAAACTACTATTTCCATTTTTCCATTTTTCCATTTTTCCATTTTTCCATTTTTCCATTTTTCCATTTTTCCATTTTTCCATTTTTCCATTTTTCCATTTTTCCATTTTTCCATTTTTCCATTTTTCCATTTTTCCATTTTTCCATTTTTCCATTTTTCCATTTTTCCATTTTTCCATTTTTCCATTTTTCCATTTTTCCATTTTTCCATTTTTCCATTTTTCCATTTTTCCATTTTTCCATTTTTCCATTTTTCCATTTTTCCATTTTTCCATTTTTCCATTTTTCCATTTTTCCATTTTTCCATTTTTCCATTTTTCCATTTTTCCATTTTTCCATTTTTCCATTTTTCCATTTTTCCATTTTTCCATTTTTCCATTTTTCCATTTTTCCATTTTTCCATTTTTCCATTTTTCCATTTTTCCATTTTTCCATTTTTCCATTTTTCCATTTTTCCATTTTTCCATTTTTCCATTTTTCCATTTTTCCATTTTTCCATTTTTCCATTTTTCCATTTTTCCATTTTTCCATTTTTCCATTTTTCCATTTTTCCATTTTTCCATTTTTCCATTTTTCCATTTTTCCATTTTTCCATTTTTCCATTTTTCCATTTTTCCATTTTTCCATTTTTCCATTTTTCCATTTTTCCATTTTTCCATTTTTCCATTTTTCCATTTTTCCATTTTTCCATTTTTCCATTTTTCCATTTTTCCATTTTTCCATTTTTCCATTTTTCCATTTTTCCATTTTTCCATTTTTCCATTTTTCCATTTTTCCATTTTTCCATTTTTCCATTTTTCCATTTTTCCATTTTTCCATTTTTCCATTTTTCCATTTTTCCATTTTTCCATTTTTCCATTTTTCCATTTTTCCATTTTTCCATTTTTCCATTTTTCCATTTTTCCATTTTTCCATTTTTCCATTTTTCCATTTTTCCATTTTTCCATTTTTCCATTTTTCCATTTTTCCATTTTTCCATTTTTCCATTTTTCCATTTTTCCATTTTTCCATTTTTCCATTTTTCCATTTTTCCATTTTTCCATTTTTCCATTTTTCCATTTTTCCATTTTTCCATTTTTCCATTTTTCCATTTTTCCATTTTTCCATTTTTCCATTTTTCCATTTTTCCATTTTTCCATTTTTCCATTTTTCCATTTTTCCATTTTTCCATTTTTCCATTTTTCCATTTTTCCATTTTTCCATTTTTCCATTTTTCCATTTTTCCATTTTTCCATTTTTCCATTTTTCCATTTTTCCATTTTTCCATTTTTCCATTTTTCCATTTTTCCATTTTTCCATTTTTCCATTTTTCCATTTTTCCATTTTTCCATTTTTCCATTTTTCCATTTTTCCATTTTTCCATTTTTCCATTTTTCCATTTTTCCATTTTTCCATTTTTCCATTTTTCCATTTTTCCATTTTTCCATTTTTCCATTTTTCCATTTTTCCATTTTTCCATTTTTCCATTTTTCCATTTTTCCATTTTTCCATTTTTCCATTTTTCCATTTTTCCATTTTTCCATTTTTCCATTTTTCCATTTTTCCATTTTTCCATTTTTCCATTTTTCCATTTTTCCATTTTTCCATTTTTCCATTTTTCCATTTTTCCATTTTTCCATTTTTCCATTTTTCCATTTTTCCATTTTTCCATTTTTCCATTTTTCCATTTTTCCATTTTTCCATTTTTCCATTTTTCCATTTTTCCATTTTTCCATTTTTCCATTTTTCCATTTTTCCATTTTTCCATTTTTCCATTTTTCCATTTTTCCATTTTTCCATTTTTCCATTTTTCCATTTTTCCATTTTTCCATTTTTCCATTTTTCCATTTTTCCATTTTTCCATTTTTCCATTTTTCCATTTTTCCATTTTTCCATTTTTCCATTTTTCCATTTTTCCATTTTTCCATTTTTCCATTTTTCCATTTTTCCATTTTTCCATTTTTCCATTTTTCCATTTTTCCATTTTTCCATTTTTCCATTTTTCCATTTTTCCATTTTTCCATTTTTCCATTTTTCCATTTTTCCATTTTTCCATTTTTCCATTTTTCCATTTTTCCATTTTTCCATTTTTCCATTTTTCCATTTTTCCATTTTTCCATTTTTCCATTTTTCCATTTTTCCATTTTTCCATTTTTCCATTTTTCCATTTTTCCATTTTTCCATTTTTCCATTTTTCCATTTTTCCATTTTTCCATTTTTCCATTTTTCCATTTTTCCATTTTTCCATTTTTCCATTTTTCCATTTTTCCATTTTTCCATTTTTCCATTTTTCCATTTTTCCATTTTTCCATTTTTCCATTTTTCCATTTTTCCATTTTTCCATTTTTCCATTTTTCCATTTTTCCATTTTTCCATTTTTCCATTTTTCCATTTTTCCATTTTTCCATTTTTCCATTTTTCCATTTTTCCATTTTTCCATTTTTCCATTTTTCCATTTTTCCATTTTTCCATTTTTCCATTTTTCCATTTTTCCATTTTTCCATTTTTCCATTTTTCCATTTTTCCATTTTTCCATTTTTCCATTTTTCCATTTTTCCATTTTTCCATTTTTCCATTTTTCCATTTTTCCATTTTTCCATTTTTCCATTTTTCCATTTTTCCATTTTTCCATTTTTCCATTTTTCCATTTTTCCATTTTTCCATTTTTCCATTTTTCCATTTTTCCATTTTTCCATTTTTCCATTTTTCCATTTTTCCATTTTTCCATTTTTCCATTTTTCCATTTTTCCATTTTTCCATTTTTCCATTTTTCCATTTTTCCATTTTTCCATTTTTCCATTTTTCCATTTTTCCATTTTTCCATTTTTCCATTTTTCCATTTTTCCATTTTTCCATTTTTCCATTTTTCCATTTTTCCATTTTTCCATTTTTCCATTTTTCCATTTTTCCATTTTTCCATTTTTCCATTTTTCCATTTTTCCATTTTTCCATTTTTCCATTTTTCCATTTTTCCATTTTTCCATTTTTCCATTTTTCCATTTTTCCATTTTTCCATTTTTCCATTTTTCCATTTTTCCATTTTTCCATTTTTCCATTTTTCCATTTTTCCATTTTTCCATTTTTCCATTTTTCCATTTTTCCATTTTTCCATTTATTTTCTTTTCGTAACTGGTGACATAATCAACTTTTCGTAATCAGTTGCATAATGATCTACTTTATACAACTGGTTGCATGAAGTAGATCGTTACAACATTTGCTGAGATTACAAAATATATTTATATGTCAAAATTATAAAAAAAAAAATTATTACATCACGTCATTTTGACGATATGATATCTCGTCATTTTGACGAGGTAGTGTCACGTCATTTTAAATTAAATTATAATTTTTTTTTTATTTTATGAGGCATAGGAGATACAGAAATTATAAATTATCAGCATTTTTGTACATACCGTTTAGTATAGTCAAGGTTACGTTCGTATCTTCTGCATCTGTATCAACCTCAATTTTGTCAATGTCGACTATTGAAGCTACATCTTTGTCTATCTCGTATACACCGTTGTAAACTATTGACTTGAAGGATATGTGTCCTGTATCGGCATCTTTATTATCTAAAATAGTTTTATATTAGTATAATTAATTCAGCAATAAGTTGGATATATTTTATAGTATAAGTGCTTACTGTCAATTCTGATCGTCAATACTGCACTTGCTTTTTGGCCGGTGCTCTTAATGGTAGCCGTCAATGTGAGCAAAATAAACGAATTTGACAAAAATACATTTTCCGGCAAGTCCTTAACTAATTTTACTGAAAACTTTTGACCACTGTATGAAGAACTGAAGTAGGTGCTTAGTCCCGAATCTAAAACAAAAATGAGTTCTTATGTAGGATGGGAAAATATCGCAAGCAGTTTTGTCACGAATATTTTGAGACCTATTTATTATACCAAATCAATCTTACCATCTGTTATATTTGTTTCTATTTCTTCGGCACTTCTATCTGTAGTTATTCCAATGGCTTTATCATTCTTTAAATTACCTTTATTATTTTCTATATAATATTCTGCTGTATTTGAAACTGCATCAAATGCGATTGTACCTGTTACATCTGGATCTGGAGTGTCATCTACAAAAAGGAATCAAATACATTTATGTAAAAACTAAACATATAGTATAAAAAAAATGCTTCAATTGGCTTATATAATTTTGTTGATAACTAGTTTGTACCTGAAGGTCCCAATATTATTCTCTTTATTAAACAGAAAGAAGCCTTTTCCGATCTAAAAGAAATTAGGATAGGAAAACCTCAAGGTTGTGTACTAGGTCCAGTACTCTACTTATTGTATACTAGAGATACTCCAAATCTTTTCATATCAACCAACAATATACAAAATAAATATATTTCTATTAGAATAAGTGACATTTATTTTGCCAATACAGCAAAATAACTGGGTATGACACTTAATGCTAGACTGCTGGAAAGTCTATGTTAAAAACAAAAAATAATGTATTGGTTGCTAGAAAAAAATTCCAAATTATCTACATAAAACAAAGTGCTACTTTATTTATTATTATTATTATTATTATTCAACATTTCCAGAATAAAGTATATGGATATGCTTCTCAGCGGTTGAGTGCCAACTGAGCGCGTGTCCGAGTGGTAAATAAGATAACGGCAAGGTTTTCCCTGGTTAGTGGTAGACATAAGTAGAGTGCGAGAGCATAAAAACCTTCAAAATCTTTTACAAAGGCTACCGCCGCAAACCAACTCCCCCAATCTAAGGTGTAAGGTAACGTGCCGACGTATGAATTGTCGCGACACCCTCCTGTATCTAGCCTTGCCGGCGCATGCGGGGCTTTGCGTCGGTCGACCTTTCTTTCCTAGCTACTCGTGGAAACTATATGAACAAACAAAAAAACAAGAACTCAAAGAGGCTTGACGTCAACGCTCACCTCCAGCAAAGAAGACTGGACAATAAAGTCCAACTCCGGTTCAGAAGGTTGGACTGCGACGATCACCTCAAAAAAAGGAGGATGGACTTCAACGCTTACTTCCTGTAACGAAGCCTAGGCAACAAAGTTTAGCTACTGCACAGGAGGCTGGACAGCGGCGCCCACCTCCAAAAAAAGAGGATGGACACAGTAGTTCACCTCCAACTAACAGGCTCTGGCAAAAGAATCTCTGGGATTGAAGCAAAGAGGAGGAAGAGGGATAAGCTGCAGGCAGGCAGTGCTACGGCAACCGCCATCCTCAGCAAACTTCCTCACTCCAAACTAAACAAAAGCATTGTTTTGGATTAATGAGAATGGACTGTATGTAGTTTTATAAGTTTTATTTTAAACAATAATTATCACTTGAAAATTTGTTACATGATAGCTCTTTTAACGTATTACATTTGTTGCTTTCTTGTCCACCACGAAAGATTGTCTGGTTTTGTTCCGCATAAATCTGTTGCATTTTAAAAAGTTTAAAACAATTTTCGATCAGGTGACGAAAGATTGTCTGGTTTTGTTCCGCATAAATCTGTTGCATTTTAAAAAGTTTAAAACAATTTTCGATCAGGTGACATCAGAATAATGGTTATATTGTTTCACAGCTCGCCGCGATACAAAAACGGAGAACAACAGATGCACTGTCTTCGGCGTCGTCACAATTAGGTCGACAGAGTTAATAAAATACACTAGACCATTCGTTCAGAAAACCAAGAACAAATTATAGTCAGAAACAAGCATCTTAATCAAGTCTTTAGGCAGCGACACTAGTTCTGCCTCCACAAGAGGCCAGGAACACGACGCAACTACGGAAGGGCAAAAAACTCAGGCAGGACCACAAAGTTCTGTCTGGGATAAGCTACAAGGATGTAACTACGAGCCACCTGAGAGTAGCTATAATAGCAAAACCAAGCCACCCACATTCAGGTCTTGGACGCACTCTGGTAAAATTATCAGAGTACCAACCTTAAAAACATGGGAAGGAGCAACACTCGCAGTTGTAAAGATGGACGAGCTCCCCAAGCTCACCAATGCCTCTCTCTGGATCCCAGGGGAAGCGCAAGCTGACCTTGACGAGAAAGAGGTTGTGCTCAGGCGACTTGAGAGGCAAAACCCAAACTTTCATGTGGCGAAATGGTGCACCTTCCACCATAAAATCAAAAAAGACCCTAAGGGCCATCTCTTCGTCTTCGGCATCGGAGACGAAGACATGTAAACCCTTAATGCGTTCACCTCATTGACTATAAGACCAAAGGTCTAAAAAGAGGCTGAAGCAAGGCCCAGTGAAGACTCCCTGGTAAAGAATCCTCTTCCCCCTCCCCCAAATTTAAGCCAACAGTGGAGGACGTCGAGCCAAAAAAAATGGCAATCGATGACCTCCAGCAAGGAAACTTCGAGGAGTCACGAGAGATCACCCCCTCCCCACTTTCGGAGGAAGGGATGGTCGAATAAATAACCATCTTTCTGTTTAATTTTTAACGGAGGACCGGGAAGCAGTAAAAGAGGTAACGATTATACAGTGTAACTTGCAACGCTCATCACTTCAGTTGGGGCTGTAAGGATAACAACGCTAGAGGTAATTAATGTGGTTAAAATTCTTTGCCATAAAATGATTTAAACAAAAAAAAACTTACCATTTATAATTCTCAAATTTACCACACTATTACTAGTGACTTTTGTTTTTTTGATAGACGCACTTAACAAAATTGATACAGTAGATATATCCTTTAGAATATCATCAGGAATATTTAGGATTTTGGTTATTGTCACTTCTGAGGTAGTACTGCTATATTTTGCTTCGAAATACGTATGATAAGCTAAAAATTATAAATATTTACAAACTTATCAATATACTTCAAATGCTAATGTAAAATCTGGTGAATATCGTATATGAAGCAGCCTTTATTTATATTTACCATAAAAATGGCATTTAATAGAAATGAGGCATAATGCACGGTTAAGACTAAGATAATCTACAATAACTTACCATTAGTTACAGCAACATCAATTTCGTCTGGCTTATCTGTGCTTAACTTTATCGGATCTATTGTAATAGTAACGACCTGTTTCTTTGTTTCATATTTGCCATTGTACAAGAGGTTGTCAAACTGTACAGTTCCGAGGTAACTCTCATCTTAAAAAAATATATGTACATACAGGTGATTCACAGACAAAAAATAAAGTAAAAACGAAAAACTTACAGTTGATTTTGATATCTACAACAGTTGATGCTTTAATCGTACTGTCTATTATTGAAGCTACGAGAACTATTGGCATTACAGTTTCCTTAGTATATATTTCTTTAGGAAGAGCAACTTTTGTAACTAGCTCTACGCTAGTTTTGCTTATTTTTAGGTCAAAATATTTCCCATACATTGAATCTGAAGAAGACGATGAAGAATTGAAATTGAACGAAAATGTGCAATAATGGCATGTTAGTTTCAATTAATTATTATTCAGGTTATTCTTATTATTATTATTTTTAAAAAGAGTCATTACCTTCAGATATAGAAACCTTAATTTTAGCATCGCTCACTATAACTGCACTGTCAACAGTAAATGCAACTTTACCATCAGCAGCAACCTTATATTCACCATTATAGAGCGGTTTCTCAAATTTAACAGATTTAGCAGGCTCTTGAAGCGGCAGCTCGACAACCAAAGTAGCATAGTTCTTGTTATCATCTAAGTCAGCTTCTAAGGTCATCACCAAACTCTTCTGTTTTTGTATTATTTCCTGCGACAAAGGTTGCACAACTTTGACTTCGTAATAATCGGAATTTTTGGTTAGATTGAAGTATTTTGGGGCATCAAAGTCTTCGGTGCCTGAAACATTGAGTTTTTGTAGGAAAATTTTGTAAGAAAACTTTGTAAGAATATTTTGTAAAAATATTTCATGAGAAAATTTTGTAAGAAAATGTATGAAAATTTTTGAGAAATTAAAAAAAATGTAAGAAAATTTTGTAAAAATATATTATAAGAAAATTTTGTAAGAAAAATATAAGAAAATTTTGTAATATTTTGTAATACAAATTGTAAGAAAATATTTTATAAAAAATTTTTGTAAGAATATTTTGTAAAAATATTTCATGAGAAAATTTTGTAAATAAATGTAAGAAAATTTTGTGAGAAATTAAAAAAATTGTAAGAAAATTGGGTAAGAAAATTGTGTAAAAAAATTGTGTAAGAAAATTATGTAAGACATTTTTGAAAGAATAGAAAAGAAAATCTTTTTACGCAATTTAAATTTATGAATCGTTAGGTGCTCATAAAAGAAGCTTAAAATCAAATTTTGTAAGAAAATTCTGTGAGAAAAATTTGTAAGAAAATGTAAAAATATTTTATAAGGAAATTTTGTGAGAAAAATCTAAGAAAATTTTGTAATATTCTATAAAAAAAAATGTAAGAAAATTTTGTAAGGATATTTTGCAAAAATATTTCATGAGAAAATTTTGTAAGATAATTTAAAAAAAATTTGTGAGAAATTAAAAAAAAATGTAAGAAAATTGTGTAAGAAATTTGTGTGAGAAAATTGTATGAGAAAATTATATGAGAAAATTATGTAAAAAAATTATGTAAGAAATTTATGTAAGAATCATATAAAATAAAATGTGTTTTCAGGAAAATCTTTATACGCAATTTAAATTTATATATAGTTAGGTGTCCATAAAAGAAGCTTAAAATCAAATTTTGTAAGAACATTTTGTAAGAAATTTGTAAAAAAAATTTGTAAAAATATTTTATAAGAAAATTTTGTGAGAAAAATCTAAGAAAATTTTGTAATATTTTGTAAAAAAAATTGTAAGAAAATTTTGTAAGAATATTTTATGGAAAAATTTTGTAAGAATATTTTGTAAAAATATTTCATGAGAAAATTTTGTAAGTAAATATAAAAAATTTTTGTGAGAAATTAAAAAAACTTGTAAGAAAATTTTGTAGGAAAATTGTGTAAGAAAATTGTAAAAGAATATAAGACATTTATGTAAGAAAATTATGTAAAACATTTTTGTAAGAATAATAGAAAAGAAAATATGTGTTTTCAGGAAAATCTTTTTACACAATTTAAATTTATGAATCATTAGGTGCCCATAAAAGAAGCTTAAAATCAAATTTTGTAAGAAAATTTTGTAAAAATATTTCATGAGAAAATTTTGTACGTAAATGTAAAAAAAAATTGTGAGAAATTAAGAAAACTTTTAAGAAAATTTTGTAGGAAAATTGTGTGAGAAAATTGTAAAAGAAAATTATGTAAGACATTTTTGTAAGAAAATTATGTAAGACATTTTTGTAAGAAAATTATGTAAGACATTTTTGTAAGAATAATAGAAAAGAAAATGTGTTTTCAGGAAAATCTTTTCACACAAATTAAATTAATGAATCATTAGGTGCCCATAAAAGAAGCTTAAAATCAAATTTTGTAAGAAAATTTTGTGAGAAAAATTTGTAAGAAAATTTTGTAAAAATATTTTATAAGAAAATTTTGTGAGAAAAATCTAAGAAAAGTTTGTAATATTTTGTAAAAAAAATTGTAAGAAAATTTTTTAAGAATATTTTATGAGAAAATTTTGTAAGAAAATTTTGTAGGAAATTTTATAAGAAAATGTAATAACATTTTGTAAGAATAATAGAAAAGAACAGATGTATTTTCAGAAAAATCTTTTTACGCAATTTAAGTTCATAAATCGTTAGGTGTCCATAAAAGTTTTTTAAATCGATTTTTTTTATTTTAATGTAAAATTCAATTCTGAACAATCTACAAAATTGATATAAAAAACTATTTTTATTGTACCTACTAATAGAGATGAAATGCAATAATTATTTTTCACCATAGATATTTAGTTTTGCAAGAATATTTAATGATTTTTTTAATGAATTATTTTAAGGTTTGTCAAGACTGCAATATTGAAGACAAATTCAGAAAGAGAATCATATCTAACCCTAAACAATTTTAATATCTTCTATCTTATAAACTGCTATTTACTCATAAACTTACTTTCTATTTTCACTACGGCTGTAGAAATATCTTTGTCAGACGTAATTTGAATGTTTTTATCTAATTTTACTACAGCTGTATCTACATTGCTTTCGTATGACCCCGTATAATGAACTTCCGTGAATTTAACATCAGTTCCTTCATTATTATTTGTTAAATAAATGATTAAAGTAGATTTTCCTAAATTATCGTTCTCTTCTTCTGTAGCAGTCAGGCTTAGGATAATTGTGTTTTTATTTATTAATTTCTTATCGTCAATGGGTGTTTTTAACGACATTGTCCACACATTCGTCTTCTTGTTGTACGTCACATTAAAGTTTTTAGAAAAATCTGGAAATGATACATCGTTAGTGTTAATTTTGTTCCAAAACTTTCAATTAACTTACCACCATCCGTTGAACTAAAACTTAGCTTTATATCATTCTGATTATCCTTATTAACAATACTAAAATCTTCAATTTCTAAATACGGACTATCACCAAGTGTATAATGACCATAATACTGGTCTTTAGAAAATTCTGGTGTCGATAGTATAGGAAAATTGATAACTAACGCAGCTTGTCCTATTTTTTCAGCTTCGGTAGCGACTAGAGTTAAGACTAAATCATTTTTGCTTCCAGTTAAGCTATCAGGTATAGAGTTGACAGTAACGTACCAAGATTTCGAGGTGCTGTTAAAATCGATTTTAAAATTGGTTTTGTATTCTAAAAATTTATAAAAATATTGTGAAATGGCGTGAACCCTATACTATTTCAAATATAAAGAATGTTTAACCCCCTTGTTGTAAGAGATAATAAAACATATCATTTTAATGACAAATCAAAAAATATACCAATTTAAAAGATAAAATGTTATTCTATGTCTATGTTATTCCAGTCTTCGAAGATACGATTATTTCTTGATTTGATATTTTCTTTTTGTAGTTTTAGCGAATTTCCACGAGGTCAGGTGTCAGAATTTCGAGAAAAACTTGATTTAGATAGCCAGTTATGTTTTATAATTTAATAAGACATAATTAGGTCTCTGTTAGAATATTATGAGATTAGCCATCGGGGTGGAATAAGACCACCAAATGGCCACTTTTAAAAATACGGCATTTGGAGGCATGGTGACTTTATTAACTTGCAGGTCTTTGACCTGAGAGACTGATGGCTATCCAAAGACACTGCCCAGTGACAACCAGCAGGTTTTTGACGAGTTGATAACCTGCAAGACTTTGATGAGCTGGGAAGATGCCTTGTTTCTGGACTTCTCTCAGCTACACGTTGAGAGACAGGCCCAATATCTTCCTGGAGGATGTAAAATATACCTAATAAAGCCTAAGTTCTGTGGAGTAACCCATCCTTCCTCATTTTATAGATACAGATGATTACTCCACGATAGGAATTTACTGTAACACGTAGCTCGTACTGCGAGAAGATTCTATTTAATGCATGATCGTTGATCTATTATTTTTACTAATATAAAAACAACGTACTTGTTTATATTTAGTTGTAAGAGCCAGTCACAATACTAGATTAGATTAGATTTAATAGGAGTTGGAGGACAATATTTGTCCTTGTCCACCGCGACCTTCTCAGATCTATTGTGGAACTTCGTTTTTTAAGAGTGTCGTCTACCTTGTTTTTTTTATTAGACAGTGGCTTTAACAGTGGCTCCCGCATGTAGTTGCATGCGTTTGACCTTTCTTCGCCTAATGGAAGAAACCTCATTCTAGCCAGGCTTTCACACTGGCACAAGACGCTGATTGATGTTTCGTCTTCTTTTCAGAATCTGCACAAAGTTGCTTCTTCTGTTGGATTGATGACTCATGTGTCTTCTTAAGCGACAGTGTCTAGTAAGAAGACCTACTGTTATCCTAACGATTTGACGTTTTTGATCCAGTGGGTCTTTCGTGAATTTGGCCGATGGTTCCTTGATGAACTGTTTGGCCTGTTTTAGTCTTGGATAGTTTTCCACGATTCCTGAGACTCTTTTTACATTCATTTTTTGATGGATGCCTTGAACAATGCCTTAGCAACTCCACAGAACGGTTCGGAGCCTGTCATGGTCTTATCAGAGCCTTCTCGGGTTAATTCGTTGGTCTTTTCGTTGCCCTGATATCCCTCGTGGCCTGGCACCCAGAGTCACCTTGTTTTGACTACTTAGCTTTGCCAGGTCTTCTAGGCAGTCGTTCACCAGAATTGCCTTTAGAGCTACTTGGCTATCAGAGTAGATGGCAATAGTTTTGGCTGATACTGCGCATCAGATGAGTTCAGTCTGTACGGGAAGTCCCTGTTTCCAGGATTCTCGGGCTGGTATTTGAATTTGAAAAAGGTTATGGCTATACCAGTAGGCATACCCATAATCTTATCCCTTTTTACTTGCTGATATAGCCTTCTGCGGTCGGCGCTATCTAGTTGCCTTATTGGATTTTGTCTCTGCATTAGCCTGTGAATAGCGGACCTGGTTTCTCCTTGTATGAAGATGTGCAATGGCGTGAGGTTTAATAGTACCTCCATTGTGGCAGTTGTAGTAGTGAAATGGCACCGCTGAATGGCGGGCCGCTAAATGCTGGTGAGTTGGCCTATTGCACTTGCCTGTGCAGTTTTGGTTGCCCAGGCCACTATGGTCTTATCACCCTTGTGCACAACCATATGGTCATTTTGGGACTTAGACTCCAGTTTTTCTCACATATTCTTCTACAGCTTACGAGAACTATTGTAGCTTTGAGTGCAAGTTTTTTGAGATCTTGATTCCAAGTGTTTTCAATCGAATATGACTCCAAAGTATCTGGCTTCTGTGACAAATGGAATAACCATGTTGTTTAGTGCCAGTGGTCTTAGTTTCCGTTTTGTGAATGGTACAACTGTGTTTTTTGCTAGGTCGTCTGCGTATCCTAGTCGCAGCCTATGAATGGAGGTTGTTAAGATCATGTTGATGTAGCTATTGGTCGTAAACCAGGATGAGAATGAAACCACTTATGTACGCAATGAACAGCACAGGACCTAGAATGGAGCTATGTGGGACCCCACTTGAAATAGTTTTTTCTAAAGGAAATACGTTCCCAATTTACTTTAAGAGATATGTCGTGAAATAAATTTAAAATTCCAATATGAAGTTAACCGCGGATGCCTAGACATTTTGGGACTTGTCAAAAGAATATTCTAGATAAATGATAACGATATGTTTTTTATCGTCAATGGATTTTGTCCAATGATTAATCAATGGAAGAGGTTGGTCAAGTCAATCGGTCTTTGATAAAACCGTGTTGCTCGTGAAGAATAACATTTTCATGGGTTAGAAATAATTGATTCCATTATCATGTAAACAACTGATAGGGGGCTGATCAGGTTAGGTTCAAGTTTATTGTCCTTCTTTGAAGATCGGATTGACAGATCCAGATTTTTAGAAAGAGGGAAGAGAACCTTGCAATAAAGAAGTATTGATTATTAAGGGAAGATGGTATGACTGAATGCCTGCATAATTTTTAACAAATAAGGTATCAAGCCGTCAAGACCAGGAGATGAGTTATCTTTAATAAGAAAACGGGTAAATTTGAATATCAGTAAAAAATATTTTTTCAACGTTACGTATTGTAATAATAAGAGACAAAACTGGACTGTAAGAAAGAGTAGAGCCAAAAATCCATCGTGTTTGCTACCGAAAGGCATGCAATTCAATGGTATACGGATAGCTTCAAAACCACAGAAGGAACTGGAATAGGAGTGCATGGGCCTAGAACCAAGCACTATAAAAGTTTGGGTAAATACAAGAGCATCTTCTAGACAGCAATTCACGCCTTTGAGAAATGTATCCAGTTTAATATTGAGAGAAACCATCACAGATAAGAGATTCTAATATTCGATAGCCAAGGAGCCATCAAAGCGCTGTTCTCTTGCGTAATCAGCTTAAGAAAGGTCTGAAGATGCTTAGATAAACTAAATGAGCTAGGCGAAGATAATACAGTTACTCTTATTTTGTTTATTATATTTAATTTATTTACAAAATGGCTAGTCAACGGATAGTCGCAGCTACCCACAACTATCACACAGTAACTAATAAAAAAAGATTTTGTAGGGTTGTAAAACGTAAACCTAACTAAAATATAACATACCGGACATTGCCGACTCAAAGGACACCTTAGTAAACTGAGAGCAATAGAAGATAGTAAGTGCAGATTCCAGAATCCAAGGGCATTATATTTAAGAGCATATAAAATAGAAGCCACTCTAAATCCTACATTAGATTAGATTTAAAAGAAGTTGGACATTATTTGTCCTTGTTCACCGCGACCTTTACAGATCTATTGTGGGACTTTGTTTTTTAGAGTATGTAATCTAGCTTGTTATTTTTTATTAGACTTTGACCTTGAGAGTAGCTCCTGCATGTAGTTGCATCCGTTTGGCTTTTCTTCGCTTGATGTTAGGACTTTACGCTGACACAGGATGTAGATTGATGTTTTTTATTCTTCTTCACAGAACCTGCACAAAGTTGCTTCTTCTGCTGGATTGATGACACTCATGTACCTTCTAAGGCGACAGTGTTCAGTAAGAAGACCTACTGATATCCTAACAATTTGGAGTCTTTCGTGAACTTGGCCGATGGTTCTTTGATAAACTATTTGGCCTATCTCAGTCTTGGATAGTTGTTCCAACATTCCTGTAGACTCTTTTTGCATCTATTGTTTGAAGGATGCCTTGCACAATGTCTTAGCAACTTCACAGAAGGGTTCGCGGCTTGTCGTGGCCTTATCTGAGTTTTTCGGGCTAATCCGTAGGCCTTTTTGTTGCCCTAATATCCCTCGTGGCATGGCACCCAGGCTAGGGTCACCTTGTTTTGACTAATTAGCTCTGCCATGTTTTCTAGGCAGTCTTTCACCAGTCGTGATTTGATTTCTGGTAATAGAATTGCCTTCAGAGCTGCTTGCTTCAGAGTAGATGGTAATAGTTTAGCCTAGTACTTGCTGATTTAATATTTCTCTTGCACAGTGTTGTATATTCTTCTAAAACGTTGTTATCGACTTGGGTCCATAGATTCCAGCACCAGCTTCTTCCTTGGTTTCTGAACCAACTGTGTACCAGATGAGTTCAGCCGGTACGGGAGGTCCTTGTTTCCAGGATTATCGGGTAGGTATTTGAATTTGAAAGTTTCTTCTTAGATCTACATTATCTTGAGAAAATAGGATTGGAAGGGTCGTTATAGGCATCGCGACTCTTCCTTTGCTGCATTAGCGTTAGAAGGTGGCGCAATATATATTTTAGATCGCAGCGTATTAATACCCCATACCCACCATAACATAATATGAGGTAGTACATCGCATGGTGGCTAGATGGTGTAGGCACCTCGACTGTTTTAAAATTTAAGGAGCATAAACTTCCGACGGTCTTTTGAAGAAAAGGAGCGTCTACTTTGGAAGAAAGAAAAAAACGGATATATTAAAAGGTTTTTTGTTAGTAATGCGATTATGTTTTACCATTTTGAGTACTTCCTAAGTTATCCAGGGCTCTTCGTTTATTAGTGTTTTCCAAGAAAATGTGTGTAGTGATGTAAAATTTATTACATAGAGATGAACAAACATCAGTGTCTAGTACTTAGATCACAGTCTGTAAATGCAATGAATGGTCTCTAATACTTAATCATATTTTTTGGTTCCACGAAAAGGTAGATTATATTGTATGTGAGTGACTGGTCTTTTTAATAGTGGTATTAACCTCGACTAAGGACAATAATAATTGCTGAAATAAAATGAATTTAGCTCAATGCCGAATATCACATAAAATACAACAACCGTTTCCCCTTCAGAAAAACAACTACTCCTTTGGCTAATACCACAACAGGCATTGAATTACATCCGAAGGAAAAACAGCAGAGATAGAAATTAATTTTCAATACTCTCTACTTTGATTTTGCTTACCAAGGAGAACATCATTCTTGGACCGGTTTATTTGATTCCACCTAGTTTTCAAAGTGGGTACCATAGCGCATTTTGATTTTGCTTACTAAGAACAGATGGCGACACCATTTTCACTACTTGAATTTTATTCTCTCCGTTACCAACTTTATGGTATACTGGTGAAATGTGTAGCATTTGTTAATTCCATTAGAGACTGGAATTGAGAACCTATCTATTTCTGGCTGAGGAGTCCTAATAAGGACGAAACCAGTCCAAGAATGATGTTCTCCTTGGTGAGCAAAATCAAAGTAGAGAGTGTTGAAAATTAATTTCTATCTCTGCTGTTTTTCCTTCGGATGTAATTCAATGCCTGTTGTGGTATTAGCCAAAGGAGTAGTTGTTTTTCTGAAGGGGAAACGGTCGTTGTATTTTATGTGATATTCGGCTTTGAGCTAAATTCATTTTATTTCATTTTGCATCTATTACATTTGAGTTTTGATATTTTATTATCGTTTACAATAATTGCTCCTCATTTGTAAAGAAAAGGTCGAGTGTTAAAGGAACATTATTGATTCGGAAGCGTGTTGGTTCAAGAATTAGTTGAGATAGGATGGAGTTATGAACAAAGTTTATAAAATAATTTTTGGAGTTGTTGCCATTGAGAAAATTCATAATGGGTCAGGAAATATCAGGAACATATAAGTCACCAATAATTATTGTGTTTTCAACAATAGCAGAGACAACAGAGACGTGTAACTTAATAGGAAAATATGTTCGGTGGTCCATTTAAATTACATATATGACCCTCTTTTTCTTTTACATTGATCTTTACATATGTCTATCTCTCTCCAATAAAACTAACACAATTTTCAGAGGGCGCTGGTGTTGCTGGTTTTTTGACGTCGAAATATCGATTATAAGTATTAAAACTGACAACTGACAATGTTATGAATGTTGTTATGAACATGTGCATTTTATTAAAATTAATTTAATATGGGCACCGTATATTTCTTTTAGTCTGATTTTGTTGTTTAATTAATTTTCTTTGGGGGGGAATGTTTATTTTTGCATATTATTTTTTGCATGAAGCAATTTCTGGAACCAAACTCGCGTTTTTGTACACATTTCTTTCTAGAGGTAAGTAATTTCCAATTTATTAAGAAAACCACTTTATAATGTGTGTGTTTAATAATATATTACACAATGACTATAATTATTTTAGGTGAATTGGAACAGAGATCCATTGTTACAGCTACTTGTGTTCATTAAGTAGGTAGATGAATGTCTGGACAGCTTTAATGGCAGCACAAAGTTCCTATCTACTAGAAAAGTAAAATGTATGCTGAGTAAAAAATCTGCACATGTAGTATTGGCAAAGGACTTTTGAAATGATTAGAGATTAGCTATTTCTTACATACACCTACCTCTAACAGCCACTCTAAAGGAAGAAAAAAAAATTGAATCACAAAAGGGGAGAATTTTAAATCAGGATGCATTGGAAAATAAATTTGGGGACATCAGGTCGGTTTTGGATTTTATAGAGAGATCAATCTCAAGAAAAGTTAATTTATCCTGCAGAACAACCAGTAGTTTAAGTAGGATTTGCTATAACTTTATTAGAAATTTTCTTTGATAATAAATTGTAATATAGGTACCAATTATTGTTTCAAATGAAATTGAAAAAGAGTTAAATATGAAATTAGATTTTTCATGAGTAAAATGTTATATTCATTCTAACATTGTAAGGTAATCTATAATTAAGGGAATATGGAAAATAGGTATACCCTGGTGGTGTAAGAGAAAGGTAAGGGGCAATGACAAAAAAGTATTTATCTTTAAATAGTGTTTATTTATTATTAATAATATTATTTGTTATGTTTGAAAAGTACCTCCTGCTTCCGAACAGATCGAATAGATTAGACTACTAGTTGGAGAAGGTCCACCTAGCAACCAAATTAGGAGACTAGGAAAACTTTTACATGACTGGGGACACAACAGGAATGCACACACACAAGATACACAAACAAACGAAATAACAGGGGTAAGCCTTCAGCATTGTCCTGTTTAAATGATGATAGTATGTCATCCTTCATTCCCTTTTAGAAGACATGGCATGTAAATCTATTGATCTTGATTACTATAAGAGGAGTTAGCAGGTTTCGATCCAGTTTACAGGATGGGAACTTACTTGACTCGGGCCTTATACATTTGTGTTGAGTGTATGTGTGTTTCGTTTCCATGGTTTCTATTAAAATAAACAGTCATAACATATCCATACCTTTTTGCCAGACTCTGGCCAGACTAACATAAGTGACATTTGTTCAAATGGCACTTATGATAGTCTGAAAAAAAAGGTATCGATACTATACTTTATAAAATATTTGTTACATTAGTTTTTAAATATATTATGAATATATAACAACTGTTACTTTCTTTGTAATTTGTCACAAAATGATACGAGGTACTTTCTAAACGAAGCAATTGTAGTTTGTTTTTCTGTACCTTACAAAAATATAATTTATAGAAAAAGAGTTTGATGTATTATTTTTTCAAGTTTAAATATTTAATAATCAATAGAATTTTTAAGTTTTTTTTTAGCGAAATTTACAAGAGTAATAAAAACTATGTTCACTGTTTATATTAAACTGATTAAAACTTCCTTTATTAAAATGATTATTTATGTGATAAAAAATTTGATGTTATTGGAAGCTTTTATATTTTTTTAATATACAGTGAAACAATAGTTTTTGTTTCTCCTGTAAATTTGTATAGAAAAGCTTTATTTCTGAATCCATGTTTGAATTTCCCGCCCTAAAGCATTTTTAATTTTACCGCTATTTACTAGTGGCGCCATCATAGACTGGTTGTGGTTACAATCGCCCAAATAACTTTTACCGAACAAAAAAAATACATTGAGTTACACGTCTCGCTGGATTGTCTCTGACAATAGATAGATGATCAAGATTTGATAGGCGAGAATGATATCGTCTAAATGGTCTATAAATATAAGCGAAATGTATGGAGGTTGAAAGTTTAGCATTTTGTATACATATCACATCTACATCAGCGATTTCTGTTTCTATAGGAGATAGAGATAATTTATTTATAATATTTTTTGACAGATAGTTGCAGTCTAACCTATCCCGTTAAAAAAAATATGTAATATGTAATACCCTTCATACCTGAAAATAATATCACCTCCAACCACCCAATGATGTTCCTTTAACATTTTTAATATCTCTTACATCAAGGAAGTTATAAATCTTTTTCACAAGATTAGTAGAACTTATAGACTGAGGGTTTTTAAAAGTGACTTACGGTCTTCTAGGAAGAATACAGTTATTTTACTAAGATCAGTTTTGCCTACAATTTGAATATCCTCAATTAAAATTGTGGTTTTGGTATTGCAGGTGGATTCGTAGGAAATTTTTGAAAATTTCGGTGCACCATCATCGTTGATCGTGGGAAGGGTTAGAAGAAGAGCAGATTGGCCGATTTCGTCCGTTTTTGAATTTTCCGTTGCTATGAGAGCCATCACAATATCTATTTTGGAGTTTAATGTCGATTGATCTAATTGTTTAGTTACATCGACTGACCATTTTCCGTCGGAATATGAAAAGTTAAAGTTGTCGTGGTATT